CGCAGGTTCTTAATTGTGGGAGTGAAAAGATGAAAGCAGTGTCTGAGAAACAATTCTAACAGTTATGTGTGGGATGAGTTGGAGGGGGAAAAGGATTAGAAGCAGGGAATAAACAGCTACAAAGCTGCTGAAGTACAGAAGCATGTACCATAGCTACAACGTATATTGAAGTACATGAATATTGAAGAAGCATGAAGTACATGAAGCAGTAAATAATAATGTCTTAGACAAAAGTAAAAATAAAAATATGAAAAAGAAAATAAGAAAATCAGAGAAGCTTTCCTTACATTTATTTCATATTAACTGTTTCACACACCCCCTAGTCACCACATTCAACATATATACATTTTAGAATTTAATAAAATATTTAATGAGTGTGCATAATTATACTAATATCTATAGATTCTCATAAGAATAAAGTGAGACAATGTATTTTAAAAGAATTCACTAGTTGTAAATGTTACATAAATATTCATTGTTGTAATTTCTTGGGGAGAAGACAGCTGTGCTATAATAGAAATGATCTAGCCATAAAGTCAGAAGACCTGAAATCAAATTGTGGTCCTATTTTTAATTATTAATATTTAATTGACCTTAAGCAATTCATTTAGCCACTCTGAGCAACCATTTTTACCATTTTTAGTATGTAAAATGGGAAAAAACAATCTCTCATAAAGGCCTTAGGAATACATAAAATAATTTATTCTAAAATTCCTAACATAGTCTCTGAATTATGGTGGACAGTGAATGTGTTACAGGAGAGGGAGAGAGATCTATAATGGCTGATGTTACTGAACAGAAAGTCACAAGTATTTTTTTAAAAGTATTTTAAGGAATTACTATGCAGTAAGATTGCTGAATGGCTTATTAATGCTCCACTTCAGACAGTGTTCTCTTATGTATAAAGACAAATCCACAGCAGCATAAAGAGCAACAGTAAAAGCTATATGACTAACATGATTTAAAAAACAACAATAACAACAATTAGTGACTTTTTCTACTTACAGAAACATTACCAGAATTTACATAACTGACCAAATAGCTCCTACTTCTAATTCTAATATTTATTAACTGTGAAATAAATTAAAGGGACAAAGGACAAAAAGAAAACATATGCATTCTGAAGAAACTTAAATGGTAATAAGTAAGGCTGCGGGTGACTTGTTTTGAGCAAGACTCTTGCAGATTTCTGACAGAAAGAAATCAGTTGAAGTGCCCTGGTAAGATTGCCCAAGCCATAGATCCCTCAAGGATGTTAGAAGATAGTTCATAAAAATCAACTATAGTCAGGCACAATGGCTCACGCCTATAATCCCAGTAGTTTGAGAGGCCGAGATGGGTGGATCACTTCAGGCCAGGAGTTTGAGACCAGCCTGGCCAACATGACAAAACCCTGTCTCTATTAAAAATACAAAAAAAGCCTCTAATCCCAGCTACTCAGGAGGCTGAGGCACAAGAATCATTTGAAACTGGGAGGCAGAGGTTACAGTGAGCCAAGATCAGTCCACTGCACTCCAGCCTGGGCTATAGAGCAAGGCTTTGTCTTAAAAAAACAAAAACAAAAACAAAACAAAAACACCTCACTATAGAGCACTATTAGCTCAGTGGGAACTGAGAAACAAGATTAGGAGAATGTAAGTAAGCGGAATTCATAAAAGTTTCCTTTCTCGACTAGACTAACGAGGTTCTACTTAGCTATGAGTAGCTGAGTATTTAGCACACTATTCATTCACTCATTCACTCTGCAACAATAAATCAAGAAATGCACTGTGAGAAATACATGGTATAACATCCAGCCATGAAGATATGACATCAACACATGTAACAAAGTGCCAAAAGAGAAGAACAAATACAGTATTTATGCAAGAAAGCTTCAGGAAATTCATGGATTTAATCAGGACATCAGAAAACAAGAGGAGAGGGAGAAAGGAAAGAACTGTAGATTAGCAACAAGTGCAAAATAACGAAGGACAATACCGGGACTAAGAAGAAGAAAATGGTTGGAGCATAAGAGATTGAAACTAAAAGAACAGAATGTCAGACTTGGAATCACACTGCAAAAGTCTCCAGTACCAGGATAAGGGATTTGAACTTTATTTTAAATACTCTAAAAAGCTTTGAAGAAAAAAAGCCTTAAATTAGGAAGATTAATCTCACATAGAACTGAAATACAGAGTAAGAAAAAAAGTGTTAGATGGCCTCAGAAAAGCTCTTGGATTTTATAGAAACAAGCATCAGACAAGGATCACTACATAAACTCAAATACACCCAACCTGCAGTAAAACTAAATCTTATTTTTTAAAACATTATACAGACATTTTACTCTGTGAACTAAATCTTATGTATTCAGCAAAAAGAGAAAGTAACAGAGACAGTGTCTCCCAACCTAATGCCAAATGAATTTATTCCCTAGCAGAAACATGGGATGGGAGCTATGATTCTACAGTCCCTCAGTCAGCCTCAATTCCCATGTGCTTCTCACAGCATGCAGAACACAATTCTAATGTTAAAGATACGTATATTTTTCCATAAACATGGCTCTAATCATAAGTAAACCATTTGTCCAGTGTTCAAATGAAGAAAATAGTAATAGCAATGTGGTAGATATGATGAAAGACAATACTAAGCTGTAATTTATGTGCTAATTGATAAACTTTCAGGAGTAATTGTGTCTCTGTTTGCTTCACATACTAATCTTAGAACCTAACCCCTATTTAATGCCTTTTCTTCATTTTAATTATATAAAACATATTGAAGGTAGCTGAACAGGGATTTAGTCCAAAATAATTCATTGAGGGCAGAAAATTGCCTAACAATAATGAAACATTTTAGGAAGCTAAAACTAGGCAAATAAAAACAAAATCTCCATAAGGTTAGAGAAAAAGTGTGGGCGCAAAGTACAGAAACCTCACCTGTGTGGAACTTGGATAAGAAACTGGTCATATTCAAGCTAGAGAGCACGTATGAAGGTCTTACGGGTGTTATCTTTGCATTTTTCTCCCAGAGCCATTAATAACCCTTTTCCCTGAGTCAATATTTTGAAATAATAATATAAAATTCTGGCAACCTATTTATTAAAATGCCTTTAATATCATACTAACATTTTCTAACACTGGACTAACACAATTTAGGGGATATAAATATTTTTACTTTTAAAACACAAACTGTGTTTGCTTGGCAAAACTGATAAAATATTTCCAAATCATACATTTATTCATTTACCCAACACCAGCCGAGCAGAATCTTTTCTACTGATTTCTACTTGTTAAATAATGAATTACTTAAATCAGCAACTGTTTGAATCCATAATTCACCCCACAACAAAGACTTTATAAACACAGCTATAGATAAGCAATCAATAAACAGAAATAAGCTTTTAAAAACATTTTCACAAACCTAAGGACAAACCTACTAAACATAATATGCAAAATACATCCTATTGCTATTGTCTATTCCTAAAAACTCCTTCCAAATCTAACTTAAATCATTTAAATGTATCTTAATGATTGACTCCTAGAATAAACATTAATTTAGCAAAGAAAAACCATTGCCAAGACCATGCGTAGTGATTCTCTAGAAGAGTATATCCAGTATAGACGCAAGAGCAGTTAAGGACCAAAAACTAACTACATAGACCTATTTGAGAAAAATCAATGACAAATGACAAGTATATCTATACACTTTATATAACAAATCAACCTCCTTCTCAGACTTAACGTAATTTTAAAATAGTAATATTATCTAGTTGCCATTATTTCCAGATGAAATATGGAAATTATAGCTTTGTCAGTTACTCAGACTTAAGTGATCTATTTACATAGACTGTAATATAACTTTGTTTCCTGAATCATTCACTGCTTCCTTTCTGTTCCTGCAGCACTTTATGTATATCTCTATTTGTTTTTACTGTAAGTACTTGAATCCTACAAAAAAAATTACTACTATTACCATGTAACAAATGAGAAACAAGCTTAGTATGGTGAAGTGGCTTAAAGAAAAATCATCACCAAAGCCAGATTTCAAAGTCATATCTGACTACCCAGCTCTTTCCACACTAACTGGTACTAAATAAATCAAACCTAAATAACTGAATTGACTGCAGTTTCTTGCTATAGCTGCTTTGGTAGTAGGAAAAACAAATCTATCATGGACAAAACAATGCAGAAGACATGATCTGACTGAAGGTGTGGGGATACTGCCTATTATCTGAACTCACTCCCTACAAGTGAAAATTCCCATTTTTATGAGTCTTCCTGTAAGGCAAAGCCCACCTTCCTACACAGAAGCTAACCATGCCATCTACTAGTTCTTCTGGTCACCCTGCAGCACAGACATGGGCGCTGCACCTAGACTTTACCAATATAACATTCCCACCAAGGCCTCTATAAGAGATAGAAACAGTAAGAAGTTGGGACAGCAAAGCTGAATTTTGGCAGCAGGAGGCAATAGCAACATTAAGTTTCTAAAGGAGACAAACAGTAGCAGCTATGCAGTGGCTGAGTCTAGGCTTCAGCAATTTGCACCTCCATTATTGTCACCAGACTGTTTTAGGTCATGATTTTTAGCTATGTCTCTTCTGATATTTAGGCTTCCTTGTTCCTATATTTAAGGATACAGCCTTCTAACTAATTTGGTAAGGTAATCAATATGCTTTCAATAAATCCCTTGTCTGCTCGAATCAGTCTGAATTGCCCTTCATTATCTGCAATTAAAAACCCTGACTGAGTCATTTAGTAATTAAATAAATTGCACTAAATAATTATACTTCATCCAATTTTTTTACTTTAGCATCTGTTCTTTTATATGATTTGTCATTACGGTCTTAAGTAACATCTAACATATAAATAGTAGTATGCTCTAAAAACGACAACCAAAAAAACTTCAAATCAGATTTTTTTTTTACCTTTTTCAAACATAACACAAAAATACAAATATAATAACAATTCTCTCAGGGTTATTTTCACTTAAGTTCAAAGTTAAGCTTTATTAAGACTTCTTACCTGTCAGGAATACCTAGCCTCTTGACACTTCTATAAACGGAAAGAGTATTTGCAACATGTCGATAATTAAACCAGAATCGGGATGTACACACCTAAAGTATTAAAACAAAAATACAATTTTTATGCATCAAAGTTAATCATGGAGCTGCAGAGTATTTTTCTTTAAGTTGGATACAGAGATCTCTAAACAAAGAATATGATAATTCAGGCTTTAAAACCGTAAACATAAAGAATTGTCAGTAAAGGCCAGCCTCCATGGCTTATGCCTGTAATACCAACACTTTGGGAAGCCAAGGCGAGTGGATCACTTGGGTCCAGAAATTCAAAACCAGCCTGGCCAATATGGCAAAACCCCACCTCTACTAATAATACAAGAATTAGCCAGGAGTGGTGGTGCATAACTGTAGTCCCAGCTACTTGGGAGGCTGACGCATGAAAACTGCTTGAACCTGGAAGGTGGAGGTTGCAGTGAGCAGAAATGGCACCACTGCACTCCAGCCTTGGTGACAGAGCAAGACTCTGTCTCAAAAAAAAAAAAAAGATTTTTCAGTAAAACTAATCTCTCCAAAGAGATTCCTAATTTTAAAAGACCATTTGGCTTAAGAAAAAAGCATGTCTTTGGGAAATTTAATCAAATTTGAACCAATGTAGTTATCACAATTTCTGTGACTCAACAACATTCCTATTTCTAAAATATTAAATTCTTTAGAATCAAACAAATGCCCATAATTTATTCACAGAATAGAGAAGAAAATCAACTACACTGGGTTATAAAATACTTGTTTCACTTCATATTGCTTCCTTTGTTGTGAGAAATATAGGACAGAGGATAAAACGTAACATACAAAACAACTGTAAATGCACATAAGAGAATGCATTATAAAGAAGCTACTGAAGAGAAAACTAAAAACAATTCAAGTTTTATAGTTTAAAAAAAATTCCTAAGAATTATATTAAAGGTGCTAGGAAAATCTAATTCCATGCCTCCAAAGTTAGTGTTATTAAGAACCCCTTCTAAGGTAGGTAAACATAGATTTGGGGTCACTTGGTAATAGATCTACCAAGCACAATCCTGGCTCCTATCACATGCCTGTGCTTTTCGTAGGTATAATGACAATTTTGAGAATAGCATAAGTGTTCTTGCCTCTGCCAAATAGAAAGGAACTACATGGTTTTTTTACTAAAGTAAATTTTCAATCTGGAATCCAATCAGGAAAAGACTAAATTTTTGACTACATAAAAATGTGAAATTCCATATGTCAAAAAATATCAAAAAATTCTGGCTGGACACAGTAGCTCACACCTATAATCTTAGCAGTTTGGGAGGCCAGGGTGGAAGGGATCACTTGAGGCTAGGAGTTAAAGACTGGCCTGGGAAACAGAGAGAGGCCCCCGTCTCTACAAAAAATGTAAAATTTAGCAAGGAATCAGTGGTTTATAGTTGTAGTTCTAGCTACTTGGGAGGCTGAGTTGGGAGGTTCACTCGAGCCCAGGAGTTCAAGGTTACAGTGAGCTATGATTACACCACGGCACTCCAAGCTGGGTGACAGGGCAAGACTTCATCTCTAAAAAAATCCCTTGTTAATTTTAAAAAATTAAGTATAATTTATTCCAGTTTTACTATACTAGTATATAAAATATTGGGCAAAGAAAGAAAACTGCAGTTGTAATACGATGCTCAGTAATGTTTCTTTTTCATCTTTTTTTTTTTAATCTGAATCCCAGGTTACTGAAATTGAAGAGAGGTTTAGTTAGAGGTTTCCCAGAGCAAGGAAGGGTTTCACGTGTGGGTCAGTATAAGCTAACAGTCTTTTCTTAAATTATATATATAATTAACTTATTTATTTAGTGTATTACTAATCATCTGTCTCTCTCCAAAACAATGTAAGCTTCAGTAGAGCAGAGGCTTTCATCAAGATAAGCCCTTTGGCAACTGGTGGTCTGCACATAGGCAGTTATTCCCTCTTGAACATGGAGGAACTCTTAATTTCCTGTAGAGAAAGTTTACCCTGTCAAATTGGTAGATCATGGCCTTGCTTCCAATAGTTCTCCTTACTTTAAAGTAGATGTTGAAAACCTCTCTCTTTTTCTTTAGCAGTTTTTTTTTTTTTTTTTTTTTTCAGGAATTTTTAGTAACTTTGTCAAGTCACAAAGTTATGTGTATGCGAACATTCAACATAGCCCTGTTTACAATAATGAAAAATTTATACTCTAAATGCCTATAAACTGGAGGTTGCAGTACATTCACAAAATGGAAGAAAATACAGCTTTTAGAAAAGATTACGTATCTCCATACCTACTGGCAAGGAAATATCCCTAAGATATACTAAGGGGTTGCAAAATAGCTGGTATAATATGATCCCAATTATATAAAATCATATATCTATATATCTTTATGCTTACATATGAAAAGAGAAAGAACTAGAAGAATGCTCACAAAAATATTAACTCTGGATGTGGGACTTGAAGTCATTTTCCCTATCTTCTTTAATTGAGGTGAAATTCACATAACAAAATTAGTCTACCGTCTTTAAACTTTTCTGTATAATTTGAACTTTCCACAGTGGTCATTATTTTTATAAGCAGAAAAAAAAACAGAATTTTTTTTTAAAAAGCATAAACTATAGAGAGAGTATCTATAAACTAATACTATAGATAAGAAATACAATTAGTAGTTTCCAGCATTAAAATAATTCTACCTTTTATAAAATGTTTCCTTTAACAATAGCACTCCTAATTTATTCTTACATTTATTTTTCAGGTCACCACTTGACATATATTCTGAGGACAAAGAATATTACTAGAATATTATAGCTGATGTGGTCAATTTAAAATATAGCCAAATCAAAATAAGAAATTTATGATATAAAATGGACAAAAATACATTTTATTTTCAAAAATTTGATTCACACAAATTTCTCACTTATCTAATGTGAACAGCAAGGAATACTTTTACAGCATACTTACCAGAACAGCCCAGTTGTTTGTATGGCCACTTCTAAAGAACTGTTCTGCTTGATCCTAAATAAAAGCAAAACAAATAGAAGACAAAGCCACAATTTATCAGAAGAAAGACTGATAAAAGGTAAGACTCATGTTGTAGGTCAAGATGGCCAGAGGCAGACCTATGTTATTTTTAGTTAGATAACTATAAGCATGCTTTGCTTATCGTACACTGAAGTTTATACCCAGAACTGAGCTATATCAAATATTGGTACAGTAAAATAGAAATCAATTAACTCCAGATGGATTAAAGACTTAAACATAAGACCTAACACCATAAAAACCCTAGAAGAAAATCTAGGCAAAACCATTCAGGACACAGGCATAGCCAAGGACTTCATGACCAAAACACCAAAAGCATTGGCAACAAAAGCCAAAATAGACAAATGGAACCTAATCAAACTCCACAGCATCTGCACACCAAAAGAAACAGTCATTAGAGTGAATCGGCAACTAACAGAATGGGAAAAAATTTTTGCAATCTACCCATCTGAAAAAGGGCTGATACCCAGAATCTACAAAGAACTAAAAACAGATTTACTAGAAAAAAACAAGCCCATGCAAAAGTGAGTGAAGGATATGAACAGACACTTTACAAAAGAAGACATACAGGAGGCCAACAAACATATGAAAAAATGCTCATCATCACTGGTCATTAGAGAAATGCAAATCAAAACTACATTGAGATACCATCTCACACCAGTGTGAATGGCGATCATTAAAAAATCTGGAGACAACAGATGCTGGAGAGGATGTGGAGAAATAGGAACACTTTTACACTGTTGGTGGGAGTGTAAATTAGTTCAATCATTGTGGAAGACAGTGTGGCAATTCCACCAAGGACCTAGAAATAGAAATTCCATTTGACCCAGCAATCCCATTACCAGGTATATATCCAAAGGATTATAAATCATTCTACTATAAGGACACATGCATACGAATGTTCATTGCAGCACTGTTTACAATAGCAAAGACCTGGAACCAACCCAAATGCCCATCAATGATAGACTGGACAGGGAAAATGTGGCACATATACACCATGGAATACTATGTAGCCATCAAAACGATGAGTTTGTGTCCTTTGTAGGGACATGGATGAAACCTGTAAACCATCCATTCTTAGCACACTGACACAAGAACAGAAAATCAAACACCACATGTTCTCACTCACTGGTGGGTGTTGAACAATGAGAACACATGGACACAGCGGGGGAGTATCACACACTGGGGTCTGTCGGGGGCAGGGGAAGACAGGAGAGGGACAGTGCGGGGTGGGGAGTTGGGGAGAGATAGGATGGGGAGAAATGCCAGATATAGGTGAGGGGGAGGAGGAAGGCAGCAAATCACACTGCCATGTGTGTACCTATGCAACAATCTTGCATGTCCTTCACATGTACCCCAAAACCTAAAATGCAAATAAAAATAAATAAATAAAAATTAAAAAATAAATCAAGCGGCAACAGGAGGCCTAAGGTAAAGACCATCTAAGAGCATGGAACACCTCGGGTTAGTTGCAGAGCAGGAAATACTGCTTTGGTCCCAATGAATGCCTTCTCAACAGGGAGCTTGCATGAGGATCTCATAAAGAGGACTTAGGCCTAAGATCTCTGAGAAGGGAGGTGACAAGATCCGGAGGGTCTTTGCAGATAGGAGCTTGCAAGGAGGAAAAGCCACCTAGGTTCTCAGAATATGGAGTAATCTTGATTGCTGTGTGACCGCAATGCTCCTGAGATAAAAGCCCGGATGCATTGCTGTGGTCAAACCTGGTGGTGCCTTATCTGCTATGCTTCTGATGCAAATGCACCTTGATAGCAACTCAGTGTTCTAGGTTTGCTTAAGAATCACAGCTGCTACTGAATACTGCAGACTACACCTCTCCCCCTTGGCTATCTTGCCCACATTACTCTCAAGGCCTCTCCCAATAGTTTCAAGGCCTCCCCGATCATCCCTCTTTGTTCCCCCACCTCTCAATTAACAAGTGTATATACCTAATAAAGGCATGTGGAGCCCACAGCTCAGTGCCAATATGATCCCCATGCTTGCACTGGTCCCCTGGACCCATGCTGTAAAATTCTACTCGTTGTCTTTATTTCCTTTTCTCAATCCCTCATCACGCCAGGACTAAGGGCACCCACGAACAGGGTCGGGGCTGTAACACATGTAGTTTTTACAGTTGTAATAACAACCATCTTACATAAATTTATGAAGATTCCAGTATTTGACGTTATGGACTAAATAATCAAAAGAGCTTATAGCTTAAGATACTATGAGGACAAAAGTCCTGAACTGGAAATTTGGAGATCTGGGTTTCAGTCTTAGCTTAGATACCAATTAAACAGAGTAACCTTGATTAAGATGCTTAACCTCCCTGGAGACTCAGTTTCCTTATATGCAAAATGAAAGCAATGCCAATCCTATATCACAGTGCTCTTTTGAAGAACTATAAGACATATGTGCAAGAGCTTCTGCTTTAAAAAATTATTTAGCATTACTCAAATGAAAGCATATTATATAATTCTTATCTATTTCCCATACTCTAAGAATTATTAAGAAAGTAGAATGTATGCCCAATTAAGAACGTACAATTTGCTTGTTCGACATTTAACAAGGCTATTATTTATTTAAAACTGCAACCTCGCCACACCATTTTTCTTATCACGATTTATTTTTTCCACTGTGTTTACTGTCTTCTTACATTATATATATAATTAACTTATTTATTATGTGTATTACTAATAGTCTGTCTTTCCCCAGAACAATGTAAGCTTCAGTAGGGCAGAAGCTTTCCAAGTAAGTCTGGCATACAGTGGACTTTGAATTTATCTTTTGAATGAATGAATCTGTGGTCCAAATGCCTTTGCAGTCCGTGAACAAATCAAGAGTCTCTTACGGAAAACTGAAACCACATGGTTGATAGGTTCAGAACAAGGTAAGAAGGTATTACATAAAGGTTGTACTATAAAGTTGTAACTTTCAAAATCTCCTTCTAGGCTGTACTTTGATAATTCCTCAAAGTGATCACTGTCTATGATGAGAAGGCAGGGTAAAAATGCTTATTCCAGAAATTTAATCAAAGATTAATATTTCACTTTTAGTAATGCCAGATAATTTTTATCCTCATGAATTGCTTGTGAGATATAATCTCCCTACATTCCCAACAAAAACAAAATTATCACTCTTTGAACTTCTCACAGACATCTTTTTAATCCTTTAATCATTTAATAGTCGTCTCAGTGTCTATAACATCTCTGCAATTATGTTAACTAATTATTTAATATTGGTCACAACATTCAAAATAAAAGATCAGACAAATGTACTGCAACACCCATATAGAGTGCTGAGGTTTCTTTTTTCTTTTTCTTCTTTTTTCTTTCTTGGCTGGGAGATATAATTGAAAGAGAGCGGGGCCTAATTGCTTTTAAACATTTTATCTCAAACACAGACAGGTCTTCTTCATATGCTTCTAATTTTCCATTCAGTCTTGTAATTTTGACTGATTCATTTCACGTCTTCATTCTACACATAAGATTTATACTTCCTGTTAAAATTTCATTCAATATCCATTCTCACTATGTTCTAGGTACTTTATTTGAACTTGCCAATATAGTTGATTGAGCACATATTCTAGCATTCCGCCAGGGACCATTTCACCAATGTATTAAAGTAAGTCTAAATTATATTTGCCATCTCAAGACACTAAAATTTTCTAACACCATCCTGACACCTAATGAACATGATTTTGATTATATGTTAAAATAATAGTGGATATAAGCCATACTGACCTCAGATCAGCTCCCAAACATTGTTAATTACTAGACCTTTAGACTCTCCAAGTTCAAATCTGGGCTCTATTACTTACTAGGTGTATAAACAGAAAAGTTGCTTAACTTTTCTGTGCCTCCAAATCTCCATCTATAAAACAGTAATAATATCATCTGAGAGAATATAGGAATAGTGACTGGAACATACTAATGGCCTGAAAAACACTAGCAGCTTTAATTTTGAGCTAACAAGAAGATTTCAGGGAGACTAAATTTAAACTTCCACTTGTACATACATCTGTACCGGTGTGCAAAGATGCACACCCAAGTGCAAAGACCTAAGTATTATATATGCTGCCTACAAGAAACTCACTTCACCTATAAACACACATAGACAATGTGAATGAATAAAAAAAGACATTCCACACAAATGGAAAACAAAAGTGAATAGAAGTAGCTGTACTTAGATCAGATAAAACAGACTTTAAGTTAAAAACTATTTTAAAAAAAAGAGACAAAGAAGGTAACTACACAATGATAAAGGAATCAATTCAGCAAGAGAGCATACAATTATAAATAAGTATGCACCCAACTCTAGAGCACCCAGATGAGTATAAAGCAAATATTATTAGATCTAAAGGGAGAGAAGAGATCACAATATAATATTAGGTGGGAACTTCAACACTCCACTCTCCATTGGACAGATCATCTGGACAGAAAATTAACAAAGAAACATTGACTATTCTATTTTATTTTATTTTTGAGATAGAGTCCGCTCTGTTGCCCAGGCTGGAGAGCAGTGGCACAATCTTGGCTCACTGCAACCACCGCCTCCTAGATTCAAGCTGTTCTCCCACCTCAGCCTCCTGAGGAGCTGGGACTACAGGTGTGTATCCTCACACCAGCTAATTTTTGTATTTTTAGTAGAAATGGGGTTTCACCATGTCGGTCAGGCTGGTCTCAAAGTCCTGACCTCAAGTGATCCACCCGACTCAGCCTCCCAAAGTGCTGGGATTATAGGCAAAAAGACTAAATAGACATTTGCAGAACATTTCTTCCAACAATGGCAGATTACATATTATTCTCAACAGCACATGCAACATTCTCCGGGATAGACTGACCACATGGCAGGCCACAAAACAAGCCTCAGTAAATTTTTAAAAATGAAAATTATATCAAAAATCTTTTCTAACTACAATAGAAAAGAACTATAAATCAATTAACGTGACAAATTTGGGGAAATGTTCAAATATATGG